TCCTCAGGAAAGGTGTCGGGTAAGAAGCACGGCTGCACAGTCCCGTACTAAATTGTGTAGTACTGTTCTACGATTAGAGTCAACCACTGTGGCCAGCCCATATACAAGGCAAGGGGAACTGTACTACAGACTCCACCTTCAGAGGAGCGGTGTGCTTGAGAACTGGCAACATCACACACACTAACTGGATGCCTGTTAGCAGCATTTGCTACTCTCTGAAACGTTGAAGGAAATAAGAAGAATGTGAGTGGTGGTTTGCCATCTTCGAAGGTCTGAACAGAAGTCAGAGATAATGCTACAGTGCTGATTCACCTATAAGACATGCTATGCTGCCCGTGGCTGACAAACAAGTGAGTGCTGATAATCTTTTAGCATCTCTTTGCAGGAGATAAAATTGCACGCCCCGTGTTTACTGTGACATTACCCACAGTGGCCAAGAGGAGGAACAGCCTAGATCACATCAACAGATGAGCAGATAGGGAGAGTGTGGCACAGGGTACAGAACAGAACAGACCCCTCCACAAAGGCACATGGAATTATGTCATTTTCAAAAAAAACGGATGAACCTGGATACCTTCGTGTTAAGTGAAATGAGCCCCTCAGAAGGACAAGCACTCCATTTTCTCCCATATGTGGAATCGGGGTTTAAGTATATGTAGATGTAAACATATATATGACATAGAAGCAGGAGGGTTTGGTAGGGAAGAGAGGTCCAAGGGGGGGGGTACAGAGGGAACAGGCAAAGACAGTACTACATGTTTTCCCACATGCAGAACCTAGGTTTAAATACACACATCTCCTTCATGTACCCATGAAGATCTTGTTAGCCAGCTCCAAGCTCCTCCATTCTGAAGTGATTTGGATTTCCAGCACTAACTTACCTCTCTAGATTCTTGTCTTTCCTGGCCCATTACTCCCAGTAATGACCAACCAGGACAGACATTTAGCCATGACCATCGTGGCATTCTTTGGCTACTGACTGGTTATTCCTAGCAAAGGCCAAATGAAAGTCAAAACCTCATCTACTTCCCTCCCTTTTCCTCTAAACACGGAAGAAGACAATCTTGCCTTCCCACATAGGTCTGAACTCTCCACAGAGCCCTCAGGATGCCATCTGGCTGTCTATGTCATTAATAGCTCTTCAAAGGACAGTCTGTCTCTGACTCCCTTGAACCCTAAACCTTTCATACACAAACACACACACACACACACCATAAAAGCAGGGCTGCTTGGGGTGAGGAAAAGGACCAACAAGAGGCAGGTGAGGGCAGTTCAATGATACAGATGTATGAAATGTCACAAGACCCATTTTTTGTACACTAATTTGAAAATCAAACGGGAAAGAAAAACATGAGCTGCTTAGGAATATAATGTAGACCAGAGCTTCTCCCTTCCAGTGTAAGCTGCATGGGGATCTTACTAAAATACAGATGCCGTGTCTCGTGGCCTGGTACTCCTCAGGAGTTCCAGAGTAGCCCCATGATCATGGTCTGTATGCAGGGGTACCCACTGACTAAAAGTTAGCACAAAGTACTAGGGTGCCTGCCTGGCTCCTGTGAGCCCTCCCTTCCCTCAATGGGCCCCGATGAGTATTCCATCACAGCTTTGCTGCTTTTGGGACCCTGGTCCTCTGGTGGGTAAACCCCTCCTGATACACAATCAGTCCCACAACTTTTAGAACTGGAATTAAAGGACCGTGATATAAAAGGTGGCAGTTACCAGCCAGGTGAGAAAGCCACTTCCCAGGGAAGGAGAAGGGGAACTAAGTACCAGGACAGTCCAATCCAGAAACCAACTGGCCCCTTACTACCAAGATCACCGAGCCTACTACCTCTAGGAGAGCAGCTGTGTCTAAATCTGTTCTACGTGGGTTTTTAGCATTTGAAACTAAGACGTTCTGATAAGGGATTGGGGAAAGCTTTCTGGTGAAGGACTGCAACATTATTATCCAATGTCTGGCCCCAGGAATGAAGACACATTATCGGCGTGGTTTAGCACACTGACGGTGCGACTCCAATCATCGAGAAAAGACACTAGAGAAAGAAGGCTTATGTAAGACTGAGAAAAGCCCCACCTATATAAAATAGGATGAGAAAAAGAGAGAAGCAAGAAAGCTTGTGGACTGAGATTGCTGAATAACTGAAAGATTATGGAAGGAAAAATCAATGTAAACGCAGACCACTGCAAGCAGGACACAGCAGGATGGCCCAGCGTAGCAAAGCCAATGAGGACTATGGCCAGACCTGGGCAGAGCAGAGGATTTGAGAAAAGTCAGTGGTGTCCCAGTCAGCAGAGGCCTAAGCACTGGCCTTTCTGTAAATACTAGATCCACACCGTGCAACCTGCTTATAGCTCTGAACTCACTAAGCCAGATACTTTACAGCACATTTCCTGAATGCTGTTGTTGTTGCTGTTGTTGTTGTTGTTTTGTTTTGTTTTGGACTCACAGAAAAAGAGTTTGGTTACCAAGGTTTATTGTCAAGATGGAAGCTGTTTCCTGTCTGAGCAGTGGGCATGTGGGCAGGACAGGCAGCAAGAGAACAGCAGCAAAAGCCCTGGGCTCCAAAGCCTAACAAGCAAGTCATGAGGCTGCTGCAGGCCAAACCTGCACGCTGATTTCATCTCACGATTTTACAGCTGGACCTCAGGGCATGTTTAGAAATTATCTTGTTCACAAATTAAAACAGCATCTACCAAGGTGGGCTTAATTTTGGTAAAAAGAAACTGAGAGTGTGTCTATGTTAATGCAATATTTGTTGTAAGGATTCCAGAAACACATGAGTCAAAATCTCGAATGATTCCCACAGTAACTGTAACTCTGCTACAAGACATACATCATGGAAGACATGTTAGCAACACACAGTAAAGTGGAAAACTCTTGGTAAGCAAAAACAAGCTGAGTTATGTTTGGTATGGGAGTCACCAATTTCAAGTAGTGGAGAATCTATAAAACTTAAAACCATAAATGCGTGCATTATTTTTGTGTTTATTTCATTGTTTTATCCAATTTCATTAGCTCTGCACACAAACTACATCTTCATTTCATAAGCTACAAATAAAAGTCTTTTGTGATTCTGGAATCCATGACACTGGGTCTGGGTCTCTTGTTCTCACACAGGTGCCTTCACAGGGCTGCCTCACTATGCCCTGCCCTCCCTGAAATGTCAGAACATGTCTGTGAGGATTCATTTGCCACTTTCCTTTACTCCCCTAAGGACACCATGAGGGAGGGGAGGAAGGTGGAAGAATCACACCTTGAAACTTTAAAAGGTGGGCGAGTGCCACAGAGGAGGGCTCTGTCACCATTAACTGAGCCCTTGGTGTGTCCCTAAGCAGAATGAGAAGGCAGCCCCACACGTTTACAACTTCTGAAATGTTTAGTCACACCAATGGCTCATCTGTCCTCACCACACTGGGAAACACCAACACTGTCACGTGTTCAGCTCTTTGGGACTCTGAGAATATATTTCAAAATATGATTGATCAGGCAGAACATGGGCTGGTTCAGCCACACTCCAGTGCTGCCCTATATGCTCACACGTGAGGTGATCTGCTTAGTACTGGCTGCAGAATACGCTCCATGAGATTACAGTTACACACAGATATGAAGCTTTCTGCCTCAAGTGTATTCTGAAAATTCAAGAAGTGAAAGAGAAAAAAACAAGTGCTCTTTGAAAGTCTGCCTAGACAGACTGAATCTGTGTGCTCTGCCCAGCAGCTCTTCTCTGTTTGCTATGAGAACCTACTCCAACCTCTGAAGAGGGATCTCTTTACCTTCCAGCAGCCTGACATCACAGTGCTTCATTATGTTCAAATTAAATTACTTTGGCTCAAGAACAATTCTAATTCTTTAACCATTCTAAAAACTCCACCCCACCATGTTGCTCATGACCCTGTGTGCATGTCTGGAGGGTGACATAGTCAAACTGTCTCTTACCATTATGATGATCAGACTGCTTAGCTTTCTGTCCCTACCTTCCTGTATCCAAAAAAGATGCTTTTCTATGTAACCAGATAAAAATTTCTTCACCTACATAGCACACCAAGAAAATGTCAATTCAAACAATGATTTCACAGACAGAAAAAACTTCATTATCATTTGTTCTGATGGGGAGAAGACAGCCACTCTTTTGCCTGTGAAAGTACGACAAGCTTTCAAAAAATTATTTATTTACTTATTTTATGTGTATGAATGTTTTGCCTGAATGTATGTAAGTGCACCTGTGTTATACAGTGCTTGCAGAGGCCAGAAGAGGGCGTCAAATCCTCTGGAACTGGAGTTTTGGATGGTTGTTAGCTGCCATGTGGGTGCTGGGAAATGAACTCAGGTCCTCTGCAAAGCAGAGAGTACTCTTAACCACTGGGCCGTCTCTCTAGCCCTAAGTATGACAATTTTGCTTATCACTAAAACATAATATTTTAGAAGCTAAAAGATCAACAGATCCCATGGATTGTTAACTTTAGACAGTTTTACTGTGCAAGAAGAGCTCTCTTCTTCTTACTGTTATCTACAGCTATAAAAGAACCTTTGTAATGAAAACAGCTGCATACGCAGTCCTCAGGTAATACAAATAGAACATATAAAGGCATCCTCCGAGACATGAACACAAAACCTGCAGGCATTCTCCTACCCTCATATCTGAGAGTGGCCACAAGACACAGCTCAGTACTACCTCCTCCACAGAAAAGGTCTGAAGATCATCGCACATGAAGGCTGGGCTGTGTGTGCTCTATGCATGCCATACTTTCTGGGACTGTCCTCAGGGAAAGTGTAGATCCAGTTAGTCAGCAAGATTCACCTTAAATAAATTCACTGTTGGCTGTCTCTTTCAAGATAAAAACTCAAGAAAAGGTGATCAATTCTAGAGACCCACAGAACACTTAGAAATGAAAAATAACGGTGTGTTTCTATGAACAGTTAACACATGAAATTCTCAAAGGCTTAAATTTCCTAGACAGTTGATAAAGTCCTTGTGACTCTAGGTATCACCAAGTAAGAAACTGATTTTTCATCTTTATTTGCAATTAAAGCTACAGAATTCCAGGAGTGACTGACAAGGGAAAAAAACTGAAGAATGAACCAAAGGGAAACTCTGGAAACAAGGTAAGTGGTCCAACAGAAGACTGTCACATGAATACCACACACTCATACAATGCGTACTGTACAGCCACACAGTGTCTTTTTCTTATTTTATCTTGTTACCCAGGCTGGCCTTGAAGCCCTATGGCTCTGTTGAACTCAGCTTCCTGAGCAGCCCAAACAAGAGGGACGTGCGTCCATGCCCAGTTGACAATGCATTCTTAAAGAAGAGCCAAGAGGAAGCAGAGGTTGATAATATGTTGTAAAACAAAATGACAGGTTATTAAGTGATACGTTCTATATGATCTGTACTTTGGGGGAGAATTTGTACATATATAAAAAGACCAGAAGAACATATACAAAACTGTTAATAGAAGTTACCTCTTTTAGTGAGAATCAACACCTTCACTGTTTTTACTTTTACAGATGAAAAGAGGGTAAAATGAATCAATCAGTATATTCTGATGTCATTGCTCCCACTTCTCTCTCTCTCTCTCTCTCTCTCTCTCACACACACACACACACACACATACACACACACACACACAGAAACATTCAGTGTCGACTAACAATTGCACATTAACACCTATTTTTCTTTAAATTATAAAACCATTATAATTAAAATTCAGTTTTCCTATTTTTTGTCTAATTTACAATAGCAACATATTCTAAAACAGAAGGCATGTCTTCATCCAAGGCTGCAATCTTCCACTCGTCCTTCACGTACCCTTGAGTCTAAAAAATGAACTTCATGTGCTTGATTCCATAGGTCTTGAAGAAAACCATGATGATAAGGGCCCACAGGCCTAGAATGAAGCCCCCAGGGGGGTGCCAATCCTTCAGCTTCGGTTTCTGTAAAACAACAGTAACACGGTCACTGATGGGTGAAGCACTCATTCAGCAGTGGGTAAAGCAAACACTGGTGGAAAGGAGAGAGCTCAGCAGTAGTGTCCAGGGGACATCATTAAATGCACTGGGGTAGCAACAATGGTAAAGACTTCCCCAAAGGCAAGCCAATTCTAACAAAAATTATTTCCTCAGATGGCCTGTCCTGACCAAGTCATCCATCTCCATCCAACCATCTCCCCTCACACCAGATGCTCACCAGGGAACCAGGCCTGGCAATGCTCACATCCCCACTAGTTTCCAGTTTCATGTCTTTCCTAGTCAACTACAATTCCCTGAGGGCCATGCTGTTAACAGGAAACAGACACTAAATCAGTGGGCAAACACTGGCTATGCAACACCAGCTGTTCCTTCAGTCACAGGTGCCTTGGCCATGTTTTTCCTTCACAGAGAAGACCCTTACCTTGTTGGGCATGTTCAAAACCCACTAACTCAGATGATGCTAACTCCTCTAGATTGGTCATAGCTGAAAAGCTCTCTTCTTTGAATTCTCATGGTCCTTGATCTATAACTTCTGCTGTCCCTCCTACCTACCATTGCAGTATCCTGTTTCTCTCCATACCAGCTTGCTACGGTCCAAGCCCATGTAGTGTTCTGCACGCCAACTTGCTACGGTCCAAGCCCACGTAGTGTTCTGCACACCAACTTCCTATGGTCCAAGCCCACGTAGTGTTCTGCATGCCAACTTGCTGTGGTCCAAGCCCACGTAGTGTTCTGCACGCCAACTTGCTATGGTCCAAGCCCACGTAGTGTTCTGCATGCCAACTTGCTACGGTCCAAGCCCACATAGTGTTCTGCACGCCAACTTGCTATGGTCCAAGCCCACGTAGTGTACTGCATGTCAGTTTGCTATGGTCTAAGCCATGTAGTACACTGTACATCAACTTGCTACGGTCCAAGCCCACGTAGTGTACTGCATGTCAGTTTGCTATGGTCTGAGCCATGTAGTACACTGCACGTCCCTTTTCCAATCCCATCCCACGAAGCACAGCTAATCATCTTGGGTGTGCTTTTGTCCAGCAAGGATCAGTTTTGACCACCTCGCTCTCTTTCCAAAACTTTCATTATGGCCTTGTAACTGGAAGTATGTGACTGTTATGTCTTTGTGTCCACTTTACTCAAGTACTGACTAAGATGGTAATAGTTAAGAATCAACTTTCATCAGTTCCAAAGTAATTTATTAAACTAAAAATGACAAAAATTCAATATTTTAATTTTGATCATAATGGTGGAGTTTTAAACCAAATGCTTAACAGGAATAAACTGATATTTATATTCATAATTCTCAGATCTTCAATCCTTTGTCTGTTCCCATGCTCTTACTTCCTCCTAAACACTCCCCCAAATCTATCTGAGAATATTAAACACAAAGCCGGGTATGGTGCTATATGCCTGTAATTCTAGCACTCAGAAGGCTAAGACAGACATTTGAGGCTGGCCTGGGCTACATAGCAAATTCCAGGATATCATGGGCTTCATAACAAGACCTTGCTTCAAAAATAATTCCTGGTTATTTTCCACTAAAAGTATGGAATGCGGGTAGGCATTCTGGCTCCATACAGCTCACCTGCCTAACACGCAGAAGGCCCTGGATTTAACCTCCAGCACTAAACACACACACACACACACACACACACACACACACACACACACAGTGTCTGCAGTGGGCTCTGATTATTTGTGTGATGATGGGGATGACAAAAGTCTCTGACCTCCAGCATCACACAAAATAATCACTGCAGCAGTTCTCAAACCATTCAAATGGCAGAGTTTGTAGAAGCCATAGCCTCTTTACACTGTGGAGAATTTTTATTTTTTTCTGTAGGAGGTCTAGAATAATGAATACAAAGCAGTTTATATTAGACCAGGTAACACTGCTATCATAAGCCTGTAGCAAAGAAAAATAACTTGTGAACCAGCATGAGTGCCACTCTGTTGTCCTTTTTATTTGCCAGTCAAATGCTTCCTACGACCCATGAAAGCACTGAACAGCCTTAAGAATGGAGAAAGTTGCCGTGACCATTTACAGTAGAATTTCCTCCACACAGCAGGCAGATGTGCACTTGAGTACAGGTTAAGAGCACTAATCTAGTTAGGAAAACAGGATTCTGGTTTTCCCTAACTCAAAGTCTCTGGTATACATGACATTTGATATGGGTACACATACAGTAATAGGTATACACATTTCTATAATAGGAAAACCTGATGATTATTTTCAAATTTTAACAATAAGGTAAACTCAACTGAGGGCTGTAGGATATAGACAATCTTTCCATAAACCAAATCAGTAAGTTGTGGTGCTAGAAGGGTTCAGGAGGTGTCTAAACCAAGTCATGCTTAAAGAGTAATGGTGAACACCATTTAAGTTCTGTTAAGAGATTACCGAAATAATACACACTTAATAGCAAATTGTACTTCTATAGCCATAGAAACTACTTTCTGGTAAGATGGTTTCACTGAGGTTCTAATTTTACCATTAAATCTTAAGCGCAGAGGCCAGAAAGAGTTTCCAAGGACAGACAACTAAGGGAAAAACAGGATCTTTGGAACCTTCTCCAAAGGTTCAACAGTGACAACAATGAATCCTAACAGCAGTTGTGGAGTGGCCTGGAAAGCTGGCTCGAGGCTATGGGAGTACACTCTTGGCCTCCAACCTCTGGGCAAGCAAGGGGGCAAAGAGAAAAGCCTGGTGCCGGAGGGTCAGTTCCCCAAGAGAAAACCTGGAAGGAATAACTGACGATGAAGGGGTGTGTGCGTGTGTGTTTGTGTGTGTGTGTGTGTGTGTGTGTGTATACCAAAATTAGAATATGGTACAAGTCACAAATACTAGTTTAATTTGCTGCCTCCCAGTTCCCGGGAATAGTAATACCAACCTATCAGACACATATACAAGAAGACATTCATATATAAGAGCACAGTGAAAAACATCCATTGTTGGCATCCAAAGAGAAAGAGAAAACCCAGCACTCCTAAGGCAAGATGGGAGATGGAGACAGAAACAGCTGGCAGCCAGGTAACCTGGAGCATGTGTCCAGCAGCAGACACAGGAGAGAACCTGCCTCAGCAAGGTGGAAGGAGAGAAGGAACCCCAAAGCTGTCCTCGGACCCCAGCATGTGTGTGGGTAGCGTGTCTCTCCAATAATAATTTTTTTTTTTTTGTCTTTTTGGGACAGGGTCTCCCTGTAGCCCGAGCTGTCCTGGATCTCACTATGTAGACCAGACCGGCCTCAAACTCACAAAGATCCACCTGCCTCTGCCTCCCAAGCGCTGGGATTAAAGGCATGCGCTACCACGCCTGGCCAATAATAAATTTTTTTTTAAATTTTTAAAAATGATTTATTTAATAACAACATACTTAGAAGAAGCATATCATTACAACACAATTGACATATTCAATAACGGTTTCCTGAGGTAGGATGCATCTCTTTCAAAATTGGCTGTAAATTTTTAGGTTTACAGTTGAATTATTACAGTTATACAATATTGTACAATAATAAATTTTTAAAGACTGAAAAAAGACAACAGGAAAACCAAGGAGGGATCTATGAAGAAAAATATTCCCACCCATTGACGATTACATCTGGAGGATGTAGAGAAGACACCTTTATATAAAATTTAGGACGTTACTACTCAGCACGGGTAATAATGAACAAAACAACTGGAAACACAAAAGCTGCATAAGAGGGAAACGTGCACTGACAACAGTCTGAGATGAAAAGCAGCACAGGTTTACGACAGTAAAACTAAAACCCACACAGGCTGGAACGGTGCTCAGCACACCTGAGTCCTTCATTCGCTGGCTGCGTTGGACTCCTGGCACACCGGGCCCCCATCTCCATGCTTCCCTGGGTCCATGCTGTTTGCAAGGTGGTGTTATAGCAGTTCACATAAAGAGGTGGAATCTGGAGATCAGTTCAGTATAGAACAGTTGCCTAGCGTGTGCAAGGAATACCTGAGATTTGATTCTCAGCACTGGGGAGGGAGGGATGGCAGGGGAGAGGGAGCAAACCAGATTATCTAAAAACTTCTTTCGGTCAATGGAATTTGACACAAGTATAGCCTCAGAGACTCTACTTATTTCTGCTCCATCTCAGCTGCCTGCAATATCATGAGACGAGATGGCATCTGTGGAGAACTGAGGTCCTCCCAGACTGCCCAGCAAGAACATCTAACTAACCACAGTCGACCAGACACACTAGGGACAATGAAGAATCTGCCCAGTTAAACTCAGCCTAAATTGCCAACTTGCAGAATTATGAGCTCAACATATGATTAAGGCTTTAAACCAGGAAGCTGTGGACTGGTTTACTATGCATCAAAAGCCATGAAATATAACCACTGAGGTGACAGTTAATGTGGAAGGAAAAATACTGCTTCTTAAAATCATAATGAAAAGACTCCCATTGATACATATGTAGCTTGAGAATTCTGCAATGGAGTAAGGGCAAATGACGGATCCTGCTCTAGCATGGCCTCTGTTGGGATGAGCAAGGTCTCCCAAGATGATCACTGCCGTTCCTTGAGAAAGAACTGCAGAGTCAGAGCTGCAGTCCACAGATCCAGGAGCTCAAAGCATCCTGCATCACTATAGTATTCAGCCATCACCACAGACTGAAGTCACCAGCATAAATACCTCCTGTGCTGACTGTCTTCTGGGCACCCTTCCCAAACGTTCTTTCTCAACCTGCCAACTGAGGTCCGGTGCCTTCCCTTTGAAAAGAACTCATCAGAAGTAATCAGATGCTGCCCCCGACTGGACATTCGAACATCTCCCCAGACCTCTGTGCACTTGAACCTCAGTAAATTGTCAAAGCAATTAATCTGATCTTAGACAATTATGGAAGACTCACGTCCATACAGCTTTTGTTTTAATAGAACGCTGCATACAGTTTTTCCTTACCATGGCTTTAACTTTTCTGTGATGAGAATTCCTACTATTAAAATTC